ATGAAATTGAAGAAACATTGTCTTAAACCCTTAAAATAGATCATATTTATGATACAAATTGATAGTATATTCTTATAAAAATGAAATAAAATATCATTAAGAGAGAACGATTTATTTTCATACTATAATAATGTTTAGTGGTGTAGTCACATTTAAAACAATGTTCACTGAAGCTTATACCAAAAACATTCACCATTTCTGTAGTTAAAGAATGATTTTAACATACTTAATTTCATATAATATATGTATACGTCAGATTAGATATATCATAAAATGTCTGTTGAATAAAAATATAACTATTGTCTATAAAAAAATGTAGATAAATTATATCAAAAGTTATACGTATTACCGAGGTTATCATATTGAGTGTAGTAATTAAATGTTAAACATTTAAACAATATTTTCAAGTAAACGAACGACATTTAGATTCAAATTCAATATGCACACCACAATTTTTATTTAAATAAGTTTCATTCTTTTAATTATGTGTGTAGATATTTACATAGGCGCATATAAGGAATTTCAATAGCGAGGGTTAAAGCCGTACCATTTTTAACCAAAAATTATAAATTAAGGACTTGTCCCCATACCTTTAAATTATTTATATTATTAGTTGTAATCACTAAGAGCTGTAAAGTTGCAAGAAAAAAGTTTAATTAAATTTAAAAAATCACAATCATTTAAAAGATGAATTTATACGATATAAAATTATAATAAATCTAGGGGGGCTTAACCACCCCCAAGCTCTAAGCCCCGTCCTTTTTGCACTTATGATATTTATACTTATATTTATTCAAAATATGGGTTTGAAATATTCATTTAGATTTGGACAATTTTTAAATAAACAGTGATGTTTTTTAACGATATCTGTTTAAAACTATAGTAGCTGTCTCAATAAATTGTTCATGTTATATTATAACATATGAATGCAAATAAATTATTTTTTTTTTTTTGTATTTTTGCAAAATGATTTAAACTGTTGGTCGCATTCAAGAACTGAAAAGCACAACACGTTCAGAAAGTTAATTAAATAAATTAATAAAAAAGAAAATGGTGTCCTACCAATCTCAATGTGCTTTGACTTCAACTAAAAAAAATGACATATCATGTTACTATAAAGTTTAATATGCAAAGAAACGTGCACATCCAGGGTAAGCGTTAATTTAAAAATAATTGTACTCTTGAAGAAAAAAATAAACTACATAATATTATCAAAAACTTAAGTTAAAAAATGTTTATACTTCCATACTTACGCTGGAGTATGCTTGTTTAATCAGTATTTGATATTTTCGCGCACTGCGTTTTATTTGTACGTTTTCTGTACGTTGTAGTGCAGGTACCTATTTAAATTGTCCACATTTCTAATGACGTTTTATCCCTGGTCATTAAACTGGAAATACAATTTCATGTCATTATTTCGCCAGAGTAATAAAACACCGGTGAAATAAAAATATTTTATAATATGAGTAGAAGAGACCCATAAATCGAGTAAAGAAAATAATAATAATATCTCCTTCATTTTTCTTGGTAATAATGAAATGTGAATAACGTGTACATTACCATACATTATAAACTACGTGTATATGACTGAAAATAAATGACGAAATTAATTGATAATTTATAACATTATAATGTACGTTTATATATATATATATATATATATATATATATATATATATATAGACTTGTCACATTACAAATTCATTGGACGCATACAGATTATCAGATTATGTAGATTTGACGATTTACATACTAATTGCTATATTCTTAAACTTATTTTCACAACATATATAAAATGCAAATCAATTATTGCTATTTAACAATTTCTTAATATTGAAATTCGTATTCTACAGTCCGTAATAAAATTTTTATATAAATCAAGACTACCTATGCAATAACTATATCGGCTGGATTATTATTAGATACAATAAAGTATAAATGTGACAAATTATCAAATTTGACGATATAATATGCAAAATTGGAAGTATCAGAAAAAAATTTAATATTTTTAGTGCAAAGTTTAGTAATTACATTTTTTTTTTTTTTGTTCTCTAGCAATAAAAATATTTCGCATATTTTAAGTTCATATTAGTTTTAGACATCTATTATCTGAATTATAAAATGTATGATAACTTTAATTAAAACGTTCATTGGAATACAACAAAATTAATATTAGACTCTGAATAATGTTAATTAAAACATTTTCTTCCTTTATTCAGAAACTAAAAATAAGTGTTCGGAAAACAATTTTATTAAAAATGTATAAATTAAATAAGTTCAACGAACTCTTGATATAAGTACTTAAAAATAAATCATGTATAAAAAAAATTATCAATATCGTTTACATTTTGTACAGTATTACCACAGTTAATATTTAATTAAGTTATAAGATATATATATATATATCATATCTGATACGTTATATAGGTTTTTAAAACAAAAAAATATTGAAAAAAACAATCATTTTAATAATTTATTAAAAGAATCAGTACAAAATAATTAGCATAAAATTACATCCACATTGAAAATATGTTTTACTAACGATTCTAAATTCCATAAATTAAATAAGCTAAGTATTTTAATACTTTGTGCATATATTATAAGCTTAGTATTTTTAAAGTAGTTTTTTCATTTTTAAATTTGTAAAATTAATTTCAAAAAAGAATTATCAGAGGTTAGGGTATAAGGAAAAAAAGAGAAAACAAAGGAGCCAAAAAAAAAAAAAAAAAATGAACGTCATAGCTTGCATATTAAATTGTTAAATAATTAAAATATCTGCCAAAGTTTGAAAAACGAGATATTATATTTATGCATTTTTTTCTTGATCTTATAAATATAATTTTCTTTTTATCAATATAGTTTATATATCATTTTAAAATGTACAGTTTAAATTCCATGATTTCACAATGTAAGATTATGATATTGTTCATTTAACAATATAAAATATAAAAATTAACTTAGTCAATACAATGAGCAATTAATGTCAACAGATCACTTCAAACTATAAAAGAAATACTCATTTAATATTTACAATACATATTTGGACTCAGGACGAGATGGCTATAAATCGCTGAATAAAACAATACAGTGACTCGTGAAAATTCGTACAACTCCTCTGATCTATGTTATGTAAGACTGTTCTGAATACCAACACTTATGAATTCCATCTCAAAAGTCAAAAGTATTAAAAGCAAAAAGCAAAACATCAAAAGAATTAAATTCCGAGCTGAATTTATTTAAAGTGTTTGTTGAATGGTTTGACAATTATTTTAGTTCAAACAAAATATAGTAATAATCACTATTCGCATTCCAATGTACAGCTAAATATTTTAACTAAGCTTATTATTAATAAAATATATTAAAACATTTTTTTAAGATTCTGTTGCGTTCGGAGTGCTAAAATATTCTTGTTAAATATATAACCCTTTCAATTTACATTAAAATTTCGGAAATTAAAATTATAAAATTATAGCAAGAATTAAAATCCAATTTCTAATATTCTTTACCTCATAAATCGTATATTTTTTTAAGAATGTTTAATGCTTCAATATTATACTTGAAATAATTAAATTATAAATAAATCCTAAGATTTAGAATAATAAACCTACCTAGGTAAAAAAATTCCATATGTCCCAACAATATTCATCTTTTTTGTGTAATTTATAAAAAAACACTCGTTTTACTTTTTTGTAGTCTCAATGAAATATTATGCATTATACTTTTCATACATAGGTTATATTTTTATAAATTGTTCTATCAATTTCTGAACACTATTAATCAACATAAATCAAAATCGATAAAATTAAAAAAAATTATAATATCTCTGTTTACTTAAAGTTTTAAAAATCAACACGTAGTATTTTACACATTTCGACCGGCATCATCTATAACAATATTGGTGGGTACCGATTATTTCTTTTGTCGATACTCCCGTTGCGTTGTTGAAAGAGACTCAAGTGTTGTTTTTGTACTCTCGTTTCTATATAGTATAGTCACCCGTATTTACCTTTTTCGTCGATAAATTTTGTTTCACTACAATAAACCAGCGTTAAGCGACACATTTATTTGATTTATAAAAACGATTTACTGGACTGCTGTATATATTGTTTCGTTAAAATAAAACTAAAAAAAAAAAAAAAAAACAATGGAAAATATTACAATCAATTATATTATTCCCGAACATTCGAAATTATATTTTATAATATTTACGCATATCATATTTTGAACGAATACAATTACTGTTGATAACTGTTTATAACTGCAAAATTGTACCTTTTAAGTAGTAAATACTATGGTATAACTTGGAATTTACTTCAAACGTAGTGGGATTACAATTTATTTTAGTAAAATTCTGTAAACATTATATCACTTCCAAAATAAAAAGGAAACGTTAAACTTCATCTAGAACATAGTTATTTATATTAGAGTTGAATGACTCCAATATAATATTTATAACTGTTACAAACATTATACATTATTAAGTCTTTACGAAACTAAATGTGATTTCTTAGATGTTTAGGAAATATGTACCCGATATAGTGTATAATATTAAAATAAAATGTATAGTATTGTAAATAATGGTAAAATAAGGCTGTTAATCTACGTCTTAGTTACGTTAATTGGTAGATTCAATATTTTTTCAATGAAAATAATTCAAAAATTATAACATACGTGTAACAAGAAATTATGCATTACCGATTCGGCGAAGAACGCATAGTTCACAATTCGAGCAAGTCAAAAACGCTACGTGCTTTTATATCTCACAACGGCGTTGATTGTGTTTACTAAAAAAATATTTATTTTTTGTTTTATTATTTTATTCAAATTGCATTTATCGCAATAAATTATTTTCGTGCTCATTATAGTAATTTATGAACCATCCGAGAAAATCTTGTACTCGATATATTTTTTATTTATTTATTATTTTTATATTTTTATCACACGTTTATATGCACGACTATTTTTATTATAGATATATATTTGTTTTTTTCTTTTTGCAGATGAAATCGACAACTGTACTATACAGATACAACGATATCAGTCGTAAAAATGGATTTTACAGTCTCAACATAAGACATGCGGCAATTACCGGAGCGATTTACACACTGGTGAGTACGATCACTCGTATATATTTATTTGTGTGTGTATGTGAAGATGATTTCCGTTCATGATAAAGGTTATAGATATTATACGCATTCATCGATTGCGCATAAAAAAAGAGAAAACAGTCTACTCGTATACCAGTTTACCGACAGTTTTTTTTTATTTTCCTTTCTTCCCCCCCTCTCCCCCGTTTTATTAATTCTACAGCTTATATTTTGACGCGTTTGCGATAGTATAGGACGTTTAAAAAATAATGCCTAATTTAATTCTGCTATAAATTAAATTTATTTCTTTTAAAAATCATAACAAATATTTCATTCTCTTCAGAGAAGTTCAGGTTTAACAGTAAAAAACAATATCGGACATATGAACCTCCCTGATAACCCTACAAGCAATTATTCTTTCCATAAAATTTATCATCATTGGATAACACATTGTCCCATCAAGTTCGTTGAAGACACGACGAACTTCTTACTGATGTTCCAAGACATTTCGAACTTTGTTCTGGTAAACTCATGACTTAGTGTATCCCTATAAGAAAAAAATCACACGGCGTCAAGTTGCAAGATCGAAGAGGGTAGTTTTGGTCTCCACGCAACAAGATTAGTCTGTCCGGGAACTTCTCGTGCAGCAAATGAATTGTTTCTCTTGAATTGTTACAAGTTGCACCGTCTTATTGTAACCATACAAGAATACCTACTGAGCTCAGTAATTTTCTTTGGCCTTATTTGAACCAAATGAACATAAATAATGTTTGGTTTCAACTTGTCACATTTCAAGAGAAACAATCCCTCTAGGAGGGTAATTTTTTCCTGATATTGTTTTTCACTGTTAAACCTTAACTTCTCCCGAAGAGAAATATTTAAATCCTGCGTTATTTTTGAAACACCCTATATAATTCATTTGCGTTTTGATAGTTCATAAATTGGAACTGCGCGTAGTTAACGCGATGTTTTCGTTTCAGCCATGAATACCGAACGCGAAGGAAGGATACATTATTATTATTATTATTATTACTGTTATGATCATAAGTATACTATTATGTACGGAAACGGATGGTTTTTTTTTCTCTCCGCAAAATAAGTACAAGATTATAAGGACTACGGTGCTGACGATCTACTAGGTGATCCGCTGAACGTGCCACGTATTTGTTTCACATTATTACGCCTGGTGGTGGTTTGTACACGCGTGATGCGTTAAAACTCTCATCAGCACCACCTACATGTAGTGTAATGCGATAAAACGTTCCGGCAAGCCACGAGGCTCTCGTGCTTTTGTGTTACTTACGATTAAGGCGCGCAGGCAGATTTCGGTTAATCCGTTATAATTACGTCGTTCGTATGCACGTGGGGGGGGAGTAAAAATAAAACACAAAATACGTTACCCTCCGGAACGGATAGTGCATAAACATGGTAATGACGTAATTCAATTATGAAACGGGCGTGTACGTTTCGCGTTGGCGTAAGACCGATGTGTGAGCGCGTCGTAATCTCCACGCAATTCGTTTATAATTTTTATACGCAAATACGGTTCAAAATTCATTTATGATAATGTACCGCGTGCTCAGTGGTACACGACTTACACTAATTGTAATGTACTTTTAATAACTGTACACTCGGCACTCATTCCGGTCACCACCGCTGCAAGGGTGGTCGCAGAACGGGAGAGGGAAAAATCTGTACGGCCGTGATGAAACACACCCTGGTACCAGAACGTTTTAATCCGAACGCGTTCGCCCGAAACGTATTGTACGCATATTTTTCGCGACTGTGCATTTTTATCGTTCCGTTTTAATACACACGTACCAGAACATATTTCATATTCAACCAAATGATGAATGGACGCATGTGCTGTAGATGATTAAAAATTTCAAAAAAAAAAAAAGCACGTGCATTTTTATCGAACAATTAGTATTGATCTGCACCGGGTATTTAAATTTTGTATTTTATATATTTTATTTTTCCATCGAACCCGTATTTGTGCGTACAAATGATCCGAAATTGATGTACATAATTTACAATCGACATTAAGCTCGGACAGAACAAAAAATTAGTAACGCTCGTTGCGAAAATACTATGCCATTATTGTATTCACGAGAGAATGTCCTTTGCAGACTTAATAATTGGCTGATAGCTAATAATCAGGGAATTATTATATATGTATCCATTCCTGATGTGTAAAATGAATTAATCGATAAATGGAAAGTGCATAAAAGAAATAAATTGTGATTTGTTTAGACAATATTTTTAAGAATAAATTGTTAATTTAGTGTATATATTTATTTATTTTTTATTTATTGAATTAAAAAGAAATATCAGTAGTATACTTGCAAGTATTTTTGTTTTGCACAACATATGATAATAATATTGTTAAATATTTGAATAATACAAAATTTGAATCAAAAGCAATAAATCTTTATGTATCAAATTTTAATCTGCATATTTATTTTAAACAAATATAACAAGTTATAACTATATTTATTAAAATATTATTATTTATAATATTACTTTTATAACTGATTGAAATTGAAGCAATTTACTTTTGATATTAAATTAACTAGTCACGTAAAATTAAATAACTTGGCGTTTTACTAAATATAAAATTCACATGAAGCTCTCACATATCAATTAAATTTCAACAAAGTTCCCAAAAACGAGTTAAAAAAGCCGTCTCGCCATAATAAGTTGAAATGTTCACTCAATCTATATAAACATGGGCGTAGCGAGGGTGGGGCAGAGGGGGTTAGCCCCCCCCTGCGCCTCAAAATGAATTATAGTTGTTTATAACAAACGTGTAAGTTTTACATTAAAATCAAAAATTAAATAAGATAAAAGTCTAAAAATAGTTCAGTGAGACAGAGTGTTATCTATACGTGTAATCGTTTTGACGTTTTATGTGTTATCCAATGGTCTATCTGTAGATTATTTGAATTACGAGTTTAACGTTAATCGTTTTATGCGATAAACTAGATATAATTACTTTTTCAAAACGCATACGCATACCACATACTTGTTATAATTTAGTGTAGCAGCAGTGTAGTAGTTCGCCGTATCGTTCTGTATTCACGCAAATAGAAGTTTTCAACAGTGTACACGAATACGATGGACATATGAAAGTTATTTGATGATAAGTACATATCTTATATTAAAATTAAAAAAATTTCTTAGCACGTCTTAGTACTTAACTACTCGAGTTCATGTGAAAATCGCGAAAGTAAAAATTACGAAAATAAAATAGGGAAAATAAAAATCGCGAAATGTTTTAACAGCGAAAACATTAATACCAAAAAGAAAGAAATTATTTTCGTTAGTGGGTATACCTTTATAATATAATAATTAATATATTAATTATTACTTATTATATTATAAAGATATATCCAGGTATATTTTTTACTTTTCGCTGTTAAAATATTTTGCGATTTTTACTTTTGCAATTTTAACTGGCACCCAACTACTCATATTAACATGTATTTTTCGTTTTAGACCATTAAGCGGTGGTAAATTATACATACTTTGAAATATCCTATTTTAATATATGTATGAGTTCTTTGACAAAATAACTAGGCTTTCTACCTTAGGCTTTCTAATCAGAGATTATATTATGAATGATGTCAAAAAAGCTGTAGCTTTTAGTATAATGGCTGACGAGACCACCGATATCTCAGGTACAGAGCAATTGTCTATTGGAATTAGATTTTTTAATGATGAGAAAAGGGCCATTAGAGAAGAATTTTTAGGCTTCATTGAACTACATGCCATGCATGCTGCCAATATAGCAAATGCAATAAATAATTTTATTCGAAACGGAGGTCTCGATAGAACGAAGCTTGTTGAACAAGGTTACGATGGTTGCGCAACTATGGCAGTGAAGATCAATGGAGTGCAATCAATTTTACTGTGCAAGTCATAAATTGAACTTAGTGGTCAATGATTTAAATTGTGTTCTAGAAATACGTAACACAATTTCAACAGTAAAGGATATTATAAACTTCTTTCGCGAATCTGTTTTACGTAGAAAATGTATCCCAAACATACCAGCATTCTGTGAGACACGATGGTCTCAAAAATATAGAAATATTTCAATTTTCAAAGAAAATTTTGAGATAATTGTACGTGCTTTAGACAAATTGTCGAAAGTTGGGAACACTGCTACAAGAAAGGTTGCTTTTCAATTGCATTCTGTAGCAAATAAAAGTATTTTTATAATGAGTATAATCCTGCTGAAATACTCAAATTATATAAAAAAAATAATGAGTGTAGTGAAAGATCACCGTGAAAATTCTGACGCGGAAATCCAAGAAATCTTAACTGCTACAAACGTAACAGCTGAGAATATAGGAGCAGAAATTAATCTTCCTAGGATTGCCGGACGACAACAACATTGTTCAAATTCTCCAGCATCAAATTCAGCAGAATACTGGAAGAGGTATCTGCTAATTCCAAACTTGGATTCATTGATATCTTCATTGGAGGTTTTCTGATGAAAACCTACCAGCTTTTTCATTTTTTTTATTACACCCTTCAAATATATTAGATATGAACATCAAATAATTTAAACTCAAAATAAATAATTTTGCCGATTATTACCAAATTTAAGACTTGGATAGTGAAGCAGAATTGTGGTACAACACTTGAAAGGAGAAAAAACTTGCTAAAATTATCAGACATGGAAATGAGTGATATAGTGGAAGAAACAGATATTTTTTTTCCTAAAATAAAGCAAGCCTTGTACATTATGTTACCTCAGCCATGTACAACCAGTACTATTGAGAGGTCATTCAGTACCTTAAGAAGGGTAAAGACTTGGTTGCGTTCAACGATGACGGGAAATCGTCTGAATGGTAAATTAAAACAGTTGTTTTTTTATCAATACAAATGATATTAATTGTATACAATGTAAATTATTTTAGGTCTCTGCATACTAAGCGTGCATAGAAAACTGCTTGACGAAAAAAAAAGAAGAGCTGCAACAGAAAATTCTAAGGAGATTTTGCGATGATCCAAGA